CACACGGGCACAATCCAGGGGGGAGCCACCGTCGCCTCTTGCGCTCGGGATGAGGTTCCCTTCGCTTCAGCCCGAACCCAGCAGGAGGAGCTCACTGCCCGCTCTTCTTCCAGAGGAAACCAGCCGGGAATGGGGCCTGCCCCGATGGCGAAGGGATCCCGGAGCTCCCAGCGCCACCTTCCCAGCCCGCGCCTCAATCCCGAGCGGAGCAGGGAGCGGAGGGAATGGGCCCCAACTCCTGTCCTGAACTCCCCCGGCCACCCTCCTGCAGCCATGAATCCTAGAGGAGACCCCCTGCACCCCCAGGAGTGAGGAAGAGGGAGGGGTGGAAGGAGCCAGTGTCGTGGTTTAGTGGCAATTGGGAGAATAGAGGTTTAAAATAGCACTAATAAACGCCCGTGTTCAGGACGAGCCATGGGATGGCTCCATAACCGAGGGAAGCAGCTTCCAAACCAAAGCAACAGTGGGAAGCAAGAGGTTGGAAGCCCAAAGACATTGGGCTTCGTGCAGGAGAAGGTCCCTCTTGTTGCAGCACATGGCCTGGAGCAGCTCCCCTCTTGCCAGGTCTCCATCAGTTGTGCTTCCACCCCAAGGAGGCACAAAGAGCCAGGGGCCAGCCTGGCTCCGCTGGGATGCAGCAGCTTCCTGGGAATGCCGTGTCCCAGGGGGAAGTGTTGACCACAAACACCCAACACAGTGGCTCAGGGTGAAGGATCAAAGCTGCTTTATTGCAAAGGTGACACAAGGCAAAGAGCCCAAACGGGAGCTGGTGCCACAGGAAAACCTCATCCCGCATTCCAAACGGAGGGAAACGGGGTGTTTTTCCACCCAAAGCTGGCTGGATCGGGATGTTCTGCAGGATAAGGAGTGGAGATGGGCACGCTGTGGGGCTGAGCACCCCATCCAGCCCCTCCACCCATCCTGTTGGCAGCTCCGGCTCTCCCGGGCTGCTCAATGGAGATGCTTGTCCTGAGCCCACTCCCGTGGGACACAGAGCAGGCTTTGTCTGCAGCTCAGGACACAGCAACAGCCCGGGGTGGGGAGCAAAAAGCAGCTCTGATCATCCACAAGGTTGGGAGCAGGGAAGCGCCACCTTCCCCACGGATAACATCCATTCGGAGCCTGTTCCCCCCCAGCTCCTGCAGCTCCTGAGGTGGTTTGGGATGGAGCAGCAATTCCAAAGGCAGAGGAGGACCCTTCACATGGCCGCGAGGCCCGCGGTGGACAGCAGGGTCAGGATGAGCACCAGCACCCCGGACTGGTTGACCTGGGGGATCTTGAAGCCTTTCCCCATGTCCCAGGCCTGTGGGAGAGGAAACCCAGCAGGGTTAACACAGCTCATCCTGAGGCACCCCAAAAGACCAGCCGGGCACCCCAAAAGCCAAGCCTCAGAGCAGAACAGGGCCCAAGTGCAGCCTCTCCAGGCTGGAATCCGCCGGGAGCACAAGGCTGCAGCGCGGCTCCACACGTGGTGCTCCCGCTCCCGGCTGGAGCAGCAGGATCGCGTCATGCTGCCCAACAGAACAGCTCCTCAGAGCTCCATGACCATGGAATGAGCTCCAAGAGCAGCACATCCCATGTCCAGTGGGAGCAGAGGGTCAGGGAAGGGGTTCTCCCCCTCTGCTGTGCTCTGGGGAGACCTTGGAGCAGCTCCGGTGCCCAAAGAGGCTGCAGAAAACCTGGAGAGGAGCTTTGGGCAAGGGGTAGAGGGACAGGACAAGGGGAATGGCTTTA